AAGAAGAGGATTTTTAAAATCGATATGAGATCGAATTGGAATTTAATGTGTGAAGTTTCAGGGTGGATCAAGCGAGAGAGCTGACAAATTCTATTTACTGATGTGATAAACAAGAAAGTTTTACCCAACATTTTATTCAGTCCGTTAACTCTAAAAAGCAATCATGTAAGCAGTTTTTAAAATATAATTTTAAAACATCTGGAACCATTTAATTTCTTATCTTTTTACTACGGTTCATCAATTGTTGATAACTGAAATTTTTTTCGATGGTACGTTTAGTGTTTGTCGGTGCATCAAAGATGAGTTAGAGCTCCGCTTACAATTTTGCTYGTTGCCTTCAGGGCAATACATGATTATAGTCCTTGGAAAACGATTAAACTTGCCTGTTGATACAAGTCATAAATTTAAACAAAACTTCCCATTTCACTTCCTGCAATTGAGTTTTTTTTCAAGCCCGAAATTGGCCTTGTGTTCGATGCAGTTGTAAGCAATCTTTTCGTCACTTTTCCCTGCCATTGGTTGCTGTCATTAAGACTTAGAATACTTTTTGGACTATCTTTTGGCTCCTTGCAAAAGAGATTCTTAAGCGCGGAGCGATAACTTTGGATAAATATGAAATATATACAAGGGTTAAGGGCTGCATTTGTGCATGTTAGAAAATGAGTAACAAAACTAAAGGTTGTAAGATCTTTGTCGGCTAGGTTACGGGGTAGTTTCCATCTCCAGACTATCGTAATAACGAAAATGAATCCATTGTAAGGGCCCCAGCAAACTGCAAAGACTAACACGATAACAAGTGCCATAAAGACAATCTTTCGATTATTCTTTTGTCGTCGCGACGAAACGTTTCGCGTGTGAGCGATAGTCTCTTTCTTGAGGCTTAGAAGCATTACTGAATACATAACTGTAAGTAGTATAAAGGGAATGATTGTGAAGAGAACACAAGCAGTAGTAAAAAATATGTGCATGCTTTTTGTATGATTGAATGTAGGAGCAAAAGAAAGTTGACAGTAGAAGTGATCTTCGATYTTGACGACATGAACAACTTGGAAATGCGGTGAGAAAAATCCAAATCCCACGATCCAAGAGATGGTCAGAAACGTTAAGCGAATCTTGTGGCTGACGCGCTGTGCCTTGAGTGGAAAAACCACGGCGTAAAATCTATCAACAGTCATGAACACGAGACTCATTATGGACACCACTGGAGATGAGTCTGCAAGAAACATGGAAAGTTTACAAAGGAAACTCCCAAAATCGCCATCGAAAGGCCATACTAATTGAACTCCCTTTTTGTGCTCAACAGTAAGGGGATATAGTTGAATGGGGATTATAATCAGCGGGGTGACGAGGTCTGAAATGGCCATGTTTAGGATGAAGTAGTTGATCGCTTTCCTCAGGTGCTTGTTGCGGGAAATGATCACTATGACAAAACCGTTTCCCAGAAGAGCCAGTACTGCCACTATAATATAAGCGCACATCTTCCCTACTCTTGAGGCCAAAGACTGGGGAAAAGGCCAATTGTCTAGATTTGGATACAAAAGGGAACAATTGCCAGACCTTGTGGCATTCCATGAGCAATTAGAGAAATTTACAGTTGCCATTTGAYGATTGAAAGGTTCACTTGGTGGAAAGTAACACGTCAGAGATGGATCAGGAGCTTGACTGTGTACTATTTTAGACGGTGCTTTTGCCGGCGGTACCAGTCGTTTTATCGAAGCTAGAAAGATGTTTCAATTGGTTTTAAGCGGTGAATGGCTGTCATCATAATAACATTTTTCAAAATTGCCAACCCACAAGAAACCTTTTAGATTATGCATGGGGCCTTAATTATGTATTCAAGTGGCTAGTCGTTCGTCCAATTCACCTTGATTTGAAGATCAAAAGGAATTTCCAACTGCGAGGGTGAAGCCAAAGAGACTAAATTGCTGCTGACGTCCGTTGATTATTTCTATAAATTATTATATTTATGAAATGGTCAGTGGTTCGAGTCCCTCGAGAACCCAACTGAGGCAGATTTCTTAATCTGCTTATACACTCGAGGTAGAATACACTTAACGTATATATTATTATATTTGTTCCTCGTGAAACTAAGAACTAATTTTATATCATGAATCCAGAATTTCTGCTACACATAAGCCAATTAATTTAACTTCATTTTTCCTAAACTGAGAGGTCTGAGAGCCTCGGTGATCTTTTTGCGGCAGCGCGATACGAAACTATGAAATGTTTTAATAATTTTGGGCTGCTAATAGCTTTATCTATACTACATAGAGAACAATAAATAACCATATATGTGCTAAGTAAGCAAACAAAATGAACCACTTACAATRAATRAGTCAGTATTTCCATTAATTCTTTTGTGTCTATTTGACTATAATACTCAACACTACAACAAGAAACCGTTCACTGTCTGAGGAAGAGCGATCACTATACTAAATTGCTTTTTAATTATGCCAATTCTATCGTTTTATTTTCTTTAGTTTTCTATTGTTAAATTTTCTTAAATTAGTGCTATTTAGTGCTAAAAGACCGAAATTGTACGCTTTAATTTATTTTTGTTATWAGACCAAAAAAACTTACTGGATAATTAATCAAAGACAACAAGGGTTCGCATCAGTAAACGCACGCGCCTTAATGAAGGAACATGGTTTTATTTCATAAAGTGAACAAGACAATAGGGGAAAAATTTAAAGTATACATCATAATTTGTTTTATAGACTATTTTACCTCGACGTAATCATCCTACTTGAGCGTAATGTTTCCCCATTTCAGACCACATGTCATTCTTTTGGGAAGATATAACTAGCTAAAAACTAGTGTGAGCTGCGTCGCTGTTTCTAATGAAACAGTAATGATGAAAAGGTAAATTATACACCGTGAAAAGATGAAAAAACTTACTGACGTTTCGGACGCTAGTCCTTCGTCGGAGTAAAAGAGAAAGAAGTGTCTATTTGACTATAATACTCAACTATAACTCTTTCTCTTTTACTCCGACGAAGGACTAGCGTCCGAAACGTCAGTAAGTTTTTTCATCTTTTCACGGTGTATAATTTACCTTTYCATCATTATTCTTTTGGGAATATGATTCTTTGGGTTTGAGTTTTATCCATATTCATGTGTCTTCTCGTGCACAACCGTTAAACAAAGAAATCAAAGAAATGGTACTCTAGGGAATGACACGCGTACGTGCTGAAATGGGGAAACATCTAGTACACCCACGTTAAAAATGTCTAATGGTTTTATTGTGTAACTGATAAATTATAGAAAAAGTCTGTTCATTAAGCTACACTTTACTTGATATCCTTGCTTCTTGGCACTTGAAGTGCTACAGTCTAGATTCAAATATTGTGAGCTACAGTTTAAAATGCACTAATACATACTCAGTTTTGTGGGCGCATGTGAAAGGCCCACGACTGAAGCACTTTCATTTCATAGCAACATTTACGTATGGAGGAGTAGGGAGAGGGGCGGGGGAATGGGTTTATTCATTAAAAAAAACAGAAATCGTCATTTTTGTGTGAACATATCATGTCAAGTAATTTTRGTAACGATTGTAGTTTATTTTTATTTTTATTTTAATAACGAAAGGCTCACAGCAACAGAGCACGGCTCCAACTAGGTGTGACCCGCAGAGTTCAATTCAATTCAAAATAATTGCTTTCCTATGCGCCACTTTTCGACCCTATTTAACTCATTGCGCATCAAACAGCAATTCAATTTGTGTCAATCCTTGTGCACCCTTGTGCACCTGGTACACACACTAAGATGYCTTTCGAATTTCGAACTCAGGAAGRTTCAGAGAACAGAGAAGCATTGAACAGAAAACAGTGAGACAGCTGAGTCTCTTACACTGCGACTACATCAACCAAAGCCACCCAAACAAATTTCAAATAGAATTCACGACTCACATTTTTAACGCCACATAACAGATGAATAAGTGACTTCTGRGTTTTAAACTGTTTCTTGYTCACTTCTKATCATACACACACTCGTATAAAGTAATATATATATGATTTTAAAGAGGAGAATGCGAAAATTTGTACCGATTTCATTGTTTAAATACTCACTCGTGATTGGCTAATTTGTATGAAAATTTGTCTGGGTGACCTTGGTTGGTGTAGTCGAACAGYGACCCTTCGTGAACTTACAGCAAACAACTACTAGACTAAGTTTTAAAAGAACATCAGCCAATCCTTCAAAAACCCCTTTTTTTTGTCCACAGAAGGTGAGATAAACTTGTTTTTTAAGAAAAATCTAAAGCGCATTGATATACAATTGTGAAATGCGCTATATGAAAACTTTGCATTATTATTGAATAATATTAATAATAATAATTACAAAGCGCGCAAATCTATATTTCAAGGCGCTGGACAATGTGACCATGACCAAAAAAAATCATATAAAAAATGAGCCAACTCAAAGGATATACTAAAAGTTCTTGAGGAAA